TATATAATTATATATATAAAATTTCTTTTAGTTGTTGAGGGAATTTTGTTTTTATTTACTTATATGCAGTGTTGAGAGTCAAACCCAGGGCCTCACACATGCCAGGCAAGCACCGTACCACTGAGCCACAAGTCCATCCCCATCCCCAGTCTTTCTTGCTTTTTTTTTTGGTACCAGGGATTGAACTCAGGGGCACTCAGCCACTGAGCTGCATCCCCAGCCCTATTTTGAGTTTTATTTAGAGACAGGGTCTCCTTGAGTTGCTTAGTGCCTTTTGCTGAGGCTAGATTTGAACTTGCGATCCTCCTGTCTCAGCCTCATGAGCCTCTGGGATTACAAGTATGCACCACCACACCAGGCCATTTTATTTTGATATAGGGTCTTACTTAGTTGCTGAGGCTGACCTCAAACTTGTGACCCCCCCCTCCCTTGCCTCAGCCTCCCGGATAGCTAGGATTGTGGGTCTGCTCCACCATCCTAGCAAAAGGCTCCTCTTACAAACCTGGAATGGCCATGATCTATGTCCGGGGTACCCCTAGATACACACCCTGCTCTAAATCACAGGGAAATCAGGAGTCAGGAGTTTGCTTTGGAATATAATAATTAAAAGACCTTTCTGAGTTTACAAGAGAACTTGGGGAAGGTCTTATTTTTATTGAACAAATATGAGCACATCCTAAGTGCCAGGCCCTGTGTCTGGTCCTGGGGACACAGTTGAATAAGATGAGTTTCCCTGAGGGCCTCCCATTCCAGTGGAGAGACAAACCCTAAGCAGGTCAACTCATGACATGACAGAGTGTCTTCAGACTGAGAGAAATATGAGAAAAAAATGGAGGAGACGGCTGGGTGGGATGATGGTCAGTGGGGTGCTGTGAGGAAGGCCGTCTGAACCAAGGCCTAAAGAAGGAAGAGGAAGCAGGTAGAACTTCCCAGAAGGCAGGGGCAGCCAAGCGCAAAGCAAGTGCCAGGCAGCAGCAAGCTGTTGTGTTTGGGAAACTGAAAAAAGCCAGAGAGGCTGGAGCTGGGTGAGCAAGACGGGAAGGAGAGCAGCTGGAGCCGGGCAGCGCAGGCCGCAGGGCTGTGGGAGAGAGGCTCACGTGATTCCACAGGCAAGGGAAGCCTCAAGAAGCAGGACCTTGTGTGAAGCACTACGTGTTAAAAGGCTCACTTGACTGTGTGTGTGCCAGCCAGACTGCAGAGAACCCGAGTGGGGGGCGACCTGGGAGGAGGCAAGGAGGCTGCTGGTGCTGCAGGGTCAGAAATGATGGGATCTTGACTTAGGTGCTCACAAGAGACAGGGAGAGAAGTTGAGGGAAGATCTGGATGAGATTGACAGGAGTGAGAAGAGAAGAGTGGGAGAATCAGGGCAGGGTCAGCTTTCCAAAGTCCAGATTCTGAGGCCAGAAACATCTGGCTGAGTGACGCTGGGTCAGTAACTCCACCTCTCTGATCCTTCAATGCCTCCTTGTGAAAAGATAATAATAGTATCCACACCACCGAGTGGTGGAGGTGATGGTGGGTGGG